ATTTGCAGTTTGAACGTCGGGGCAAATTTCTGATTGGTCAATTCGGTGGTTCGGGCCGCCTCTGATTGGTTGACACTGCGCGTCCACCGGGTCGCTTCACCTTGTATCTCCACACCATGGCTCCGTCCCATCCGGACCGCGTCCCCCGCGTCGCCGAGGCACATCTCGCGATCTCTCGGTTTCGCGGCTAACAATAAGATCGGCGCGCGGAGATGCCGGCGACCGGACAAGTCGCGCGAATCGCGCGCGTGCGAGCGTTTCTAAATTATTACGTAACGGCGTGCAGTGTCACGCAAAAACGATAATTGAGAGCGTAACGCCGAGAGAATGAGAGAGCGAGAGAGAGGGGGGGAAGGGAGACCCGCGCTAGAGCGAATACGAGAAAGAAAGAGATCGAGAAGTGTGACACGCATGCGGGCGTGCACGCACGCACGCACACTCGCGCGGAGAGAATACGAACGCGAGTACGTAGGAAAAAGAGAAGAAAAAATAATCCAAGGTTGCGTGACGTACGTCGTGCGTTTATGCGTCAACGGAAACGTTACACATCTAATCTCGTCGCAAGTTTCACAAACTCGATCTCGGGCCTGCGATCTCCTCTCTTCGTCGCCAGCGATCTCACGGTGCGGCGCGGGATTTATTTATCCACGTGGTTATGCACCGATCGGGCGGTCCAACTCTTTCGGCCGCGTCCGAGATATACCTGCGGCTCCCTTTCTGCCCCGGGTAGAGAAGGAAGGAGGGACAACGCGGTTGAAACGAGCGAGCGAGAGACTATCCGCCCGTGAGTGGCGAATATCTCAGGTCACCGAGATGCTGGGTTGGATCGGGTTAAACGTCGAGCGAGAGGGTCTGAAGGCACGCGACGACAAAGTCCCAAAGTTCTCACGCCTCTATCGCAGTCTTTCTGTCTCTCGTTATTCTTTTATTGTTTAGACCAGAAGGAGTCGCGGGCGATGCAAGCCACGGCAGCCGGAAGTGTTGCGTCTTGCGTGGGCAGTAAACGCGATGATAAATCGCGGCCACCGACTGCTACCGGCAAGGTAGCGTCGATTGCAAATCGCTCGCGCTTGATTACGGAGGCATCGATGGTCTCTTTCCAAGGCGGGCTTTGTTGCTCCGCTCCTTTGGCAGCGCGCGACGCGGAATTACGCCGAGCGTAACGGAACGAGCGAAATCGCTCGCGCGCCCGCGAGAATTTTGCAATTAAATACCGTTTAATTCCACGTCGACGGGACGGCGCGATCATCCGCTCCGCTCCGCGGCACAAGCCCTGTCGTAACTGTCGTATTTACCGCCTCTCGACACAGTTAAATTTGTAACGTTAAATTTAACTCAATGAGTAGTCGCCAATGCTCCTACTCAATATCTCGTTGATTCAATTAAACAATGGAGTTGAAAGAACCCGCAAAATGGGTTGAATAAAAGACGCAGTTGTTTTTTTAAGGATGTATGTTACTTAAGTTAAAATAGAGGGAAAAAGCTGAAATTTACAGGAGTTGTGCATTTATATATCATGAAAACCTGTGATAAATTTTAGATCAATTGACTGATTCGTTTTCAAGTTATTAATTTTTTAAA